GGTTGTTGGGGTGGCAGTGCTGGTTGTTGGGGTAGTAGTAATGGTTATTGGGGTGACAGTGGTGGTTGTTGGAGTGGTAGTTTTTGTTGTTGGGGTGGCAGTGGTAGTGGTTGTTGGGGTAGTAGTAATGGTTGTTGGGGTGGCAGTGCTGGTTGTTGGGGTAGTAGTAATAGTTGTTGGGCTGGCAGTGGTAGTGGTTGTTGGGGTGGTAGTAGATACTGTAGCAGTAGTAGTGACTAAAAGGGCAGTAATAGTTGTTATTGGAGTAGTTGAAGTGGTTGTTGGGGTAATATTAATGGTGGTTGTTGGGGTAGTAGTGGTGATGGCAGGGGCAGTAATGGTTGTTGTTGTTGGGGCAGCAGTGGTTGTTATTGCAGAAGTGGTCATTGGGGTAGCAAAAGTAGTGGTAGGGGTACTAGTAGTGGTTGCAAAGGTACTGATGGTGGTTGGTGGGCCAGTAGTGACAGTTGCAGGGGCAGTAACTGTTGTTGGGGCAGAAGTGGTCATTGGAGAAGTGAAAGTAGTTGTTGGGGTACTCGTGGTGGTTTTTGGGGTGGTAGTGGTTGTTGGGGCACTAGTGGTAGTTGTTGGGGCTGTACTGACAGTCACAGGGGCATGAACACTTGTTGGGGCAGAAGAAGTTGTTGGAATACTAGTGATGGTTGTTTGGGGAATAGTGGTAGTTGCTGGGGGAGTAGTGGCTTTTGTTGGTGAAGAAGTGACGTTTGTACTGGTGGAAGTCGTGGTATCTTGAGCACTGGTTGAAACCATTTCACTTGTTGGTATGATGACGGTGGTTGTTCCTGGGGTAACTGCAGTGGTTACAGCTGCACCACTGGTTGAAGGTGTTGTCTGAGAGACAGGAGAGGCTGTAGAAAATGCTGCTGTTGTCAGTATCGGTGTCGTTGTCTCCGAGGTTGCAATTGCTGTACAAAACAAGACACACAAAATAACCAAAAAAATAAAAATAAAAAAATCATCTGTGTAGGATCCTATAGGAACCTTTCCCACTAACACATGTTTAGACTTTACCTTGACAGGCTCGTCCAGGCCGTTCTGGATTGTTGTCTATAAATCCATCCTGACAAACACACTTGTAGGAGGCCCAAGTGTTATTACATGTTGCCCATTGGGAGCAGTCATTTTCCCCTGAAGCACATTCATCAAAATCTACAAAAAAACAAAAAAAAAGGTAACCAGTAAGTCAGTTGTCTATCTATTATAACCACACACATACACTGTGTATGATAGTTTAGTTTACACATACAGTTTTGCAAGTCTTGCCCTGGAATGATGACACACAAAAAAAAAGAGAAATCCCTCTTCTTCAGACATGAAGAGCTGCATTGACCATTTTTTAAACAAAGAAGAACAAATACAACAGACCACAAACTGGTCTAAAAACCTGCATTCTTTGAAACAGCCAGCAGGAGGCGACTCCTGTGGTTGCAAAAAGAAATGTGATTGTGTAGAGGACAATGAGAAACTGATCCTCTCATCTGATCTGTTACCTCATTAGACATTTTCCTGAAGAGTTTAGGGTCTCAGGTAGTAGTTTCAAGACATATGAAAGACAACATAATATTTATTCTGTAAATTATGGTCCGATTCAGAGTGAAATCAATGATAAAGCAGGGAATGTTTGAGGGTGACGCAGCCTTGTGATTGACAGAAACGACTGTATCGCGATGCATTGTGTTCTTGTGTTCAACTAACTTTGAAATCTAAAATCACACTATTTTTCAGTAACTCTTTGAAACCCTTCCAGGGAGAGCATCCCTACCAGCAAATGGTTAGAACCAGACATACCACTAATGCTTGTGTTGTTTTCATCCACAGTGTACTTGGAGCTGTTCATCAGAGAATGCAGCAGCGCTGTGGACACATTCCTTACGTCTTGGCTTTGATTGGTGGCGAATGTCATGGTGAAGTTGACCACCACGCTGCCAGGGGAAAAGCCTCTGATCTCGATCTGCACCTGACCCGAATCCACCAGGTGCCTCATCTCTGGAGACAAAGACTGATAGATCTGTTGGTGACAGTTGAAAAAAGGGCCTGGGGTCAGAAGTCTATGCAATATAGCAGATTTTTTTTTTGTTGAAACATTTATATTTGAAGCTCACATTTGGTAAAACTTATAACGCACCCACCTCTGCTAAAATGGCTGCAGTGAGGTTTTTGTAGGCCTGGCTGCTGGCGTTCTGCAGGTCAGCAGTGAACTGGATGTTGGTAAGTCGCGCTGTGGCGTCAAGAGTCTGAGCATCTACAAAGAAAAGCCTTATTGGGTACATTAACCACCGTTACCACAGCTGAATGTCTTCTGACCACCTGGGGGGCAGTTGGTAGTTAAAAATAATCTTTTTTTTCAGCACACATTAGTCTTCAAGGGCAATTAAGTTACTTCTTGGGGTGATAACAAGTGATTACATTTGATGTTATTTATATTAGTCAGCTCCTTCTCTTGAGACTCTTCCAAATAAAACAGAGGAGGGATACTTCCACACAGATTCAAAAAATAAGGACTTTTAGTCAGTAAAGATCAATCTAACATTTCAGTCTGATGTTTAAAATCAATCAATAACATAAATCAACAGCTTGTTTTTTTATTGTAGCTGTACTCTCATCCAGATGATTATTACAGTTAAACAAATCAATGCAGATAAATGTAATAATTTCCTGTAATTCTAAACATATACATACATGATGAAATACAGATCTAGATGTCAACAATCATTTCTTACTGGTTTTGACCGAGATACGAAGGGCGACTCCTTCACTTCCACAGGCACAGGGAGTGACGGAAACATCGTACAGGATCCCAGGCTGCAGTTCCTTCACCTCCGTCATGGTTTGCCAGATTTCCCGAGAAAGAATGACCTCTGACCCCTTGCTTAGAACCACCTTGTAAGTCTGGTTTGTCTGAAACTGGGCGGTCCAGCAGACAGAGAAGGAGGTTCCGGTGACATTAGCCGCCAGTAAGCTGCTGATGCTGGGAGGAGCTGGAGGGTGAACAGACAGAGGTTATCCTTCATTAGCTGTGGTTGGGCGATACTGTCACGTTCATTAGGAACGATGTGGGAAAAAGCTCTGATTGGTTCATATTATGGTTTTAGCTATCTTAGCTTAGCACAGTGACAACACAGCCTCTTCCAACCAAACAGTCTCTCTCAGCGACGTTTTCCTCTTTGGCAACGAAACTCGCTGCTCTGGTTTCACGATGCGTTGATTCTAAGCACGCTTCAAGCAACAATGAAATATTTCTTACGGCACGTCGTTGTTGGCAGGAGCGAGTCCTCAGTTGAGCTCACGCTGCTGTTAGGTGGAGAGCTGGTCCACGGCAGAGCATATGATGAATTGTACGGGACAGAGGTTGTGTTACTCAGAGCTGCTGTCACGCTGCTCTCAGAGGAGTTGACGACACCCGCGATGCCGCCGCCCGGAGGCTCCTGTGTGGCGTTGGGAGCCGGGCTGAAGGTCGTGGAGGTCAGCGGGGGCTCCGTGATGCACGACTCCCCGACGTCAGCTGGGAACAACAAATACAAATGGATGCTAAAACCAAGCCTTCAGATGTAAAATATGAGCGTGTCCTGCCAGCTGGGTGGGTCCAGCCAGATACACTATTTTGTTTATTAGATGAGTCAGACAGACAGTGTACCTAAATTACAAATACAGCTCGCTTGTGTACACAGGCTGACACACGAGAGAGACTTGAGCCAGCCTCCATGTGAGGTTTGTTGTGATGACAGAAAGTTGCCTTTTTAGAAACTAACCACAGTTTCCTGGTTGAAGCAGCTTCGACTGTCTTGAGGAACTACCCCGGCACATGTGGCCGACTCCTATTGTGCATCAGCTGCATTTTAAGGCGGCGGTTAGTTCCTTACAGCTTTGTTTTTGCCAAAGACGAGGTTCCTCCTCCTTTTCTTTGCTTCTCGTTACTGCGTGTGTCACACGGTTGTCATTGTGCGTGATAAGCTTTTTTCTTTTCGCTGTGTTTTAAGACCTTTGTTTCACTTTTTAGCAACCAGAGAAGGGTAAATCCACAATGTCATAATTTACCCTCAAAGAAGCTTGTTCTAGCTGTCTTCAGCTCTGATTGTCTTTCTTTGATTTCCTGCAACACTTACACTAAAGCACATCCTTTAACACGTGTGCAGACTTGCAAAAAAAGCAGCCAAACCAAAAGACACGTAGCCATCGTTTGTAATGATAAGATCTTCACACATATCTCGAGCAATATACCTTCAAAGAATATGTGAAACTGAAACTGCCTTCATGTAATTGTTTGAGCATCAACTTTTTTTTTAACCTCCTTGACCTCAACCTCCAGCCTCCCTTTGACAGTTAAGCCCGTGTGGGACTTTCCTGCATATGATTCAGGAAACCGCCCCCCCAGCTTATATGTTCTTTCTTCTGAGAGACCGGGCAGCTCGTAGTCATTGATTCAACTCAGCGCCTAAAGACAATGTGAGGACATCTTTCCAAAAGCACGAAGGAATGTCTCAGAAAGAAGAACTGGAGGGTTAAGGTCTAAGTGAAATCCCATCGCAGTGTTGCAGAGGGTTTGAAACAGACAGTATATGCAAGGAAACCCTCCAGCATCTCGCAACTGAAGGAATTTGGCAGGAAGAGTTGTCGAAAAATTTCATCAAACCAGTGTCAGAATCTGGTTGTTGTGCTGAGGGAGGCAATGAGAGCTTCTGATGCCAAAAGTGAATCTTACATCTGGGGATGGTTTTGTTCAATAAAGGCCTGGAAAAGAAAGACTTCCTTGTGGTGTTGTTCAAGTTGAGGCACTTAGTTCAAGGAGGATCAAACGTTTGTTGGTCCAGATAGATCAACAATAACCAACAATTTCCATTTATGAACTTTTTTGTTTATTTTTTTGTTGCCAAATATTTTAAAGCCGTTACTGGCGAGGATCACATGGCTCTATCTTTGGCTCGTCACCATTTCACATTTACCGATGCCTTGGCGTTGGACAGAGGGGCAGGTGGTGGGCTGGATGGAGTGTCTCTGTATAAACATCTACATCATTTTAGGCTATAATAAAAAGCATAAAGAGCATTTTTATGTGATGGAAAACACATCCCCACCATTTCAGCCTCGTGTAACATATATTTTCTTCAAGAGGTACTCTCACATGAATGTTAAAAAGATTTCTTTACAGTCTATTCCCTGCTTGTAAATGTGTGTTACTGAGGGGTAGATGATGAATGGTAAATGCCACATGCACACACACCTGTACAGTTGGCTCCGGGGTTGCTTGGATCGACGTCAGCGTATCCTTGGTGGCAGACACACTGATAGGAGCCCACTGTGTTGTTGCAGTGCGCCTGAAGGGAGCACAGGCGGAGGGCGGCGTGTGCACACTCGTCTACATCTGCAGACGTACGGAGGGGTCAGATTTATGCCTTTATATTCATATATGTTTACAGTGCAATTATAAGAAATGTAATGCTAAAAATAAAATAAATCCCAAAAGCATCATTTAGAGGGAAAGGTTGTGAAATTATGCACCCAAAATCTACGAACCTGTAAATACACTACTCTAAATACACACAGACTTGATTCACGTGTCTTCGTTGTACCTTTAATTTAAAGGCCGAGCGATGTGTCTAAAAATAAGAACGTTATTACACTGATGAATTAAAGCCTGCAGTGTTGAGGAGGAGATTCATTATGTCTGAGAGAACCTATTAGAAGTCGGCTTGATGTGTGTGTGCGTAATGGCGAGCTTGTCTTTTGTGCAAATGCAACAAGTATGACTGATTTATGATTAATATCTGTGTGTGTGTGTGTGTGTGTGTGTGTGTGGGTGTGTGTTTATGCACGTGTGCGTGTCTGTGTGTGTCTGTTTGTGTGTGTTTCTGTGTGTGTCTGTGTGTGTGTGTGTGTGTGTGTGCAATCGCTCTGGTGTTATTTTCCGCTATTGCAGGAAACATCCCACAGATGACTGTCACTCAAACAGAAGTGGTGGGAGAAGGAAACTGTGGTGCGACTGAGTCATTTTTTCCTGAACGCCGTGTTCTCTGCCACATGATTCACTCTCGACAAGAATACACACTCTACAAGAATGTCATTCCTCCGAAGAACAAATGCAGCTTCGCAGAGCGAGATCAGCGCTGCCGTACAGAACAGCGGTGTTTCCTCACCTCGCACAGTTACAGATGACACCTCCTGTATGTGCTTGAGCAGCAGATGCAGCTTTGACGTGACATTGTGCAGCGACGGGGGGAAGTCACAGACTATCAGCAGAGAGGTGGCTGTTCTGTGGGGATGCACAGGCCATGAGTTGAGGTAATAAATGGAAACCTCAGACTGTAGAGCTCCAGTCACCTTTTAAAGATAGAAACACAGAAATGGAAACTAATGATAGAAGAACTAACAGAAATCACCAGCAGTATATTCATAGTGATTCTGGTGAGTTATCTTAGCAGCATAGTCTGATTGTATGTGTATCCGTAGCCCTACTGCTAATGGTAGAAGTAGTTTATCAGTATTAGCAGCAGTATTACCATTGCTTGGAGTATTCTTATGTGATTCAGAAGCCCATTATTATCGGACATCAGCTGCTGGTAATCCGTCTTCACCGTCACTGTTGCATTCAAACGATATCCTCCATTCGTCCAATAGTTTGCAGAGCCTTAAAGTGAAAAGGGTCAGTTCACCAAAGCTTCAAGGAAACCCATAATTTCTCACTTATAAGATCAAAGAGGTCCATCCAAATGAATTCCCGTTCAAACAAGAAGATAACAACATTGAATTGATTCCATACATTTGATCGTAAACTTGTAGAAAAGATGCTGAAAGAAAATTAAACGGTGTACTATTTCAAACTTTATATGATCAGTCATTTTCACAATATCCATGAGCTTAACAAAGTGCATCCCTGCCAGCATGTTTTTTGAGCTACTAACTGAACCTCTGTTACCAGCGACCACATAAACCGGGTTCAGACATTTGCTCTGTAGAACCTTTAACAGTTTTTTACTGTCGTTATTATTTCAGCAGAAAATACTGGTGGGTGACAAATTGAGAAGAAGTGTCTCAATAAGGTGTTGAGCCACCGTGTGACATCAGAGCAGCTTCAGCGCCGCTCAAAACTAATTCTCAAAGTCTCTGAATTCTACTGGAGGGATGAACATCATTCTGCTACAGAGCGTTCCCTCATTTGGTGTTCTGATGATCGTGGTGGAGAGTACCGTCTGATACATTGGTCCAAAGTCTCCTGTAGGAGCTCAGCTGGGTGGAGATCGGATAACCCACAGCTTATGATTCACATCATTTTTATCAAACCACTCAATGACCAGCTGGGCTTTTCGGTGGAGGTTTTGTCATCCTGGAAGAGACCACTCCCATCAG